AAAAAATATTATACATAATATATACATAATATTAAATAAAAAATTTTTAACAACAAACAAAAAATAAAAAGATTTTAATTAAGTGCATCTAATTTTTTTAAAAAGAATTTTCGCAATGCTGCCTGCTCACTAAGCGATTGGTTATTATTTATGGATCCATAAATAAGAATCAATCGCTCGATAAGTAGTTAGGCTGCATTCCGAGATTCAATTAAAAAAAAAGTGTTGCAACTTTTAGTTGCTGATTGTACATTAGTTCAGCTACAAAAAACAGATAATACTTTTGTATTAGGAGTAAAAATTGGAATCGAATATTTGTGATTTGTGACGAACAGACAGAGACCATATTATTCATAATCAAATCTTATATTTATAATAAAACTCTCTTAAATACAGACTTAACATTTCATAAACCAATTAGAGAGCAGTATCTTAAGACATTACTTAAAATAAGAACGATCTTAAAATAAGAATGGATTGAATACATCTAAAAATCATTTTGGTTGATCAATTGAAAGACAAAAAAGGAGCAATTAAAGTCGTAAAATTGTTACCTTTTATGGTAAACTCTTTTCTTTTGCTTTAGTAAAGATAAGTTTTTGTTTCCAATGTAAGAAATTTTGTTATTTCTGACAGGCAAGTATATAAATCTATTTTTAATATTTTGAGCTTGAATTTTATCTGCAAGATTCGTCTATTGCCACTAATAATGTAATAAAGACGGCATGGCAAGCAGAGGGAAGTAGAAACTGTTAAGTGTCGTCTTTTTTTATTATGCTACAGATATTTAAAAAATAAACTTTTTTACTAAAAAAATTTTTCTCCCAATGTACTAAGTAAGGAATTATTACGTTATTGTTACGTACTCACACGAACAGAACGAAGATTCGGGAAGACAATGATCGATTAATCAACAAGAACTGTAATGAATATTATTCTCGAACTTCTGGATTGCTCTCTTTTGATACATTCGTTTTATAACGAATGAAAAAGTAACAATGAGGAAGTAATTAACAGACTAATTAATATAATGTTATATTTTTGTTATCTCTAGCAAAATACAAAGTGGAAACTTGTAACACAGGAAATGATCGATAATGAAATATGTCATAAATTGATCAAAATTTCGCCTTATAATGAACAAAGAAGTAACAATGAGGAAGTAATTAACAGTTTAATTAACAAATAATGTCACATTTATTTTTTATTATTCCGAGCAAAATGCAAAGTGGAAACATTATAATACAGGAAATAATCATTAACGAAATACGTCATAAATTGATAAAGTACGTCATAAATTGACGAAAATAATTGCGCTAAGATACTTCACTACAACACAACAATTTTATTAGAATTAAGTTTTTAAATAATATTTGTCAAAAATTAGATAAATTTGATTTAAGACATTTTATAATTATTTTACAATTATTTAATTCTTTACTTAAAAATTTTGTCATGCTAAATGTATATCATATTTTTATACTAAAATTTAGAAATTATGCATTTTTATAAGTATAATAAATATAAGCATATTTATTTTTATAAGTATAAACATATTATGAATTAACTTAATACTTTTATGCACAAAATTATATTTCTAAATATTTTAAACATAACATAATTAAAATATTTTTTTCGATTAAACAATTTCTTTCCAAATTTAACTTTGCAAATATATGTAACGTTAAAATAATTCGC